TGTTGATTTTACTAATTCACCACTGATTGACCTGGATAAGCATGAATTTGCTGCCAGCCCATCACCTATCAATGTCGATGACACTTACAAATTTCTCATTAGTTGGAAGTAATAGTATTTAATTTTTTTTCATCAAAACAATGCTGTTAGAAGACACTCAGATTTCGCTTGTTTGCAATACCAAAATAAGCTGGAAAAAGAATTAGTAAAGTGGAAGCATCGTTATTTTATGCATTACTTTCGAGAGAATAGTCTCTTGAGCTGGAAAGTAGCACGGCAAGTGCAGGCGTTGCAGAAGACATGGGATTGCATAATCAATGTACCCAGTTGTTGGAATTGCGGTCACCTCTCCACTGAGTGTATGAAAATGAAGGTCGTTGATGAATTGGCGCTTTCGTAATTCGCTCGTGGTCTATGGGTATTGCCACACAGGCAATTCACCAATAGGCTGCACATCCCAAACTATATGAGGACATAGGATAACAAAGTGTCTATCACATCACTCCCAATGAGAAATCCACATTGCTTGGTCGCAATCCTCTTTGTCACCATCATATTTGGTTAGGTTGCACTATATAATGGCAATTTTTCAAATAGACTCAATCTAGTTGAAAAACTTGATTAATATATTGCACAAATTGAGGCATAATATTTTTAGCAGCATCTCAGAATCTCAGTCTTTTGTAGAAAACTTTCTAAACGAATGCGGAGCGTGGCATGTTTATTATAGACGGAAGAGATTCACTTCTACTTCTGCCAATTCCACTTCTACTGCTGTTGTCACTGCTACCACCACCACCACCACTACCGCAACTTTTGCGGCTGCTGCTACTCTCACTAAAACCCCCACTACCATGCCTACCACTACTGTAACGGAAAAATCTCCTCCACATTCTCCATCGCCAACTTTTATTTCCCATTTGGGTACGTTTTGCTCTCTCTCATGTGTGTGCTTTATTTTCTCATCATTAATTAATCGCTTCATATTCTTCATTCTTTTTCTCGTTTTGTGACATTCCTAATGCCATGTCTATTGACCTAATTTTACTCTTGCCTTTCACTTTTTACACATTTATATTACATCTTATTTTGTTTAACTGTATTCATTGTTCCAGGGTCCTCGCCTCTGCTAGTTGTGACTATTGTCCTCGGCATTAACTTGTGCTTTGCCATTTTGGTTATTATCTGTCTCTTCGTGACATTACTTCGCCGTTTACGCAGCCGCTTTTACGAAGATGGTGTTCGTAATCCACCATCTTCTGATATCCATGATGTTAAAGTGCTCTAATCACTTTTATTTTGGCTACTTTTTTCATCATTGTTAAATGTTCTCTTTACACTACATTCGTTTTCATTAAAATACAGTCCTGATTCTTTCCAATTGCCTTGTTAATCAACAGTGACAGCTTTTCAAAATTCGATTCGGAAGGCACCCGCTTCATAGTATACTGCTCTTCCTTCTACACATTGTTCACTTAAAAGCGCAATCTCTGTCTGTAGATTTTCTAACTGTTTACCAGCATAGACTGACTCCAATTCGGTTGGGTTTATAGTCGCTGAGACGCTTCAAGAAGTTATCAAACTGTGCGCCATTGAATCAACAAATCTATGCGATGAATGTGCCATTGTCACACGGAGTGAGTAAAGGAGAATCCTTTTAGGAAAAACAGTCTCCTGGATCTAATCAAAGGACAGTCAGCCATTTCAAAGGCACAA